AAACTTTATTTAACGCTTTTATATATCTTAATTTGCATTTCAGGTCTGCAAGTTTTTTTGCTTTATGCTAGTGATAAATACGTTCCAGTGAAGTCATTATTTGATGAAGTAAAGTATACAGTTGATTATGAGGAACGAAGAATGTTTTTCAGAAGAAGTGGTTGCTTTAAAAAAGGTGCGTCTGGAGAATGAAAAAGAAGGCTTCCCAATTACAGCTGTTCGTGAAATTAAAATTCTCAGACAGCTGAACCATCGGAATGTTGTAAAATTAACCGATATTGTTACTGATAAGCAAACTGCTGCGGATTTTAGGAAAGATAAGGGTATGTTCTTTCATACTGATTATTTACTTTTCACAATCTTTTAAGGCCTCGAGGTTAGGTTGTTTTTAACGCTAATTTTTATTTCCTTTTTCACAAATTTTAGGCGCATTTTATTTGGTGTTTGAATATCTGGATCACGATCTTATGGGGATACTGGAAAGCCAGTTTGTTGAGTTTTCTGATGATCAGATCTCATCGCTTATGAAGCAGCTTGTTTCTGGATTAGAATATTGCCATTCGATTGGATTTCTCCACCGTGACATCAAGTGTTCAAATATTCTTTTGAATAACAAGTACGATTCTTATTACTGCAACTTCTTGTGACATTGTCTATATTGATGGCAATAGATTGCAGTGTGCTATTTTAGAGGAGAGCTAAAATTGGCTGATTTTGGCTTAGCCAGATTTTACGATGAAGATCAAGATCGTCCCTACACCAATCGTGTGATAACGCTTTGGTATCGCCCACCAGAACTTCTACTTGGTGAAGAACGATATACAACTGCTATTGATGTGTGGAGTGTTGGGTTTGTTATTTTGCTCATATATGCCTTAGTTTGAGTGGGGAGATGTAACATAGACTGGGGCTGTAATATGTAAATTTCAGATGTATTCTTGGAGAATTATATACGAAAAAACCAATGTTTCAAGGGAACACTGAGATGGTGCAGTTAGACGTAATATCGAAACTCTGCGGTACACCATCTTCTGAAAATTGGCCCGATGTCATCAAATTACCTCTCTATTGTAGCTTTCGGCCAAAGCGTAATTTTCCTCGAGTCTTGCGTGATACATTTGGATTGTAAGTTTTTACAGATATGAAAATACTCTACAAATGATTGCTCGTGTCATCAATCAGTTATTGGTTTGATTGCAGCATACCTGATAAACCTTTGGATTTACTTGATCGAATGCTTGAGCTGGATCCAAAAAGGCGCATTACTTCAAAAGCGTCTCTGGCACATCCTTGGCTGAAAGATGTTGATCCTTCAAAAATACCGCCGCCCAAGCTTCCAGATTGGCAAGACTGTCATGAGTTATGGTCGAAAAAACAGAGGAAAAATCGTTCGGCTGGCAGTAAGAACCGTTTACATAGGGTTTTTAAAGTATTATGTACAAGATGGAAGAAATTGCAAAAAAATGAACAGAACAAACCAAATTAAGTGATTGGATTTTTGTTTTTTATTATCGTTTATCACACCGTAGTTGAACTGAGTGCATGTAATCTTTATATTTAATCTTTATATTTAGACTCTTCATTATTCAGCTTATTCATATCAAATGTGGCTTTGTTAAATACAGTTCCTTTCATCTCTCATTTTAAAAGCTGTGACATATTTCAGGTAATTTGAATATACCGCAGTCATCACAGTCACATTCACAATTTGTACAGCAGCACCATCCTGTGCTTCCTTCCAGTTCGCATCAGGTTTCTTTTATTATTATATCTTGCATTCCCTTTTCGGCTTGAATTTTAGGTATTTTCTGATGAAACATGAAACAAATATCAACTTTCAATTGCAGTCTGATTCGAGCACAAGTTTGAAAAGTGAACTACCACATCTGACGACAAAGCGACTGAACATTGCACATTTATCTGTTGACAGCAATACATCTTCAGAAGCTTCATTAAAAAGTAAGTTATACCTCGAATTTTCAAGGTTATAACATATTGTTCAAGAAATGTACTGCCGCTTCTAACGACAACATAGCTAAATATTTAAAGTCATCTTTTTAAAAGATTGTAAAACGAGATAGTTTTAAATGGTCATTGATAGTGTAGATTTTGAGCTGTTTTAAAAATTATAAGAAATGGTGTGCTTAGTTGATTATTTTGCAGATGTAGATGCAGCAATTCGAGCAATTCAGGCCGATCCAAGCAACTTGGAGGCGGCACGTGCATTATTAGCTAATTTAAGTCCAACGGCAGCAGCATCTGTTTTGCAACTTGTTAGTAAAAGTGGTGTTCTGCCACCCGCAGTAATGTCGGCACTTTCAACATCTGCACATCCACGAATACAGAATCAGCTCAGTGAAATATTAGGACAGCTTGCATCAGTGGAACCGAAAGGTAGTGTATCAGTTACTCTTACAAGTAATTCTACTTCAGATGTACCAATATACCAACAGACTTCATTAGATTTATGTCAAGTGTCGCTAAACAACAGAGAATATTTTCAGAACTGACTCTTGTGTAATTGATTTAAAATAATTTTATTGTTTATAGTTTCACTTATTTCAGAGCATATAATCCATATTATTTTCGCTTGAAGTAGAAAACGGGGTAGGAGATCATTTTTTTAATATTGCACTTTATTGCTTATTTCGCGATGTTACAATTTTGTATTAAATAACGAACTTAGTTTTTCAAAAATTTAAATTTTTTCACCATAACTTCTAAAGCTTAATGGCTATCCGAACACGGTGGATTTAATGTTTCATGTTGCTCTCCTGTTTGTTAATCTATTAATAAAGAATTGTTTTGTGTGAAATCTTTGCTTTGATGCTGTTTTATGATGTGTAAAAGATTGTTTAATAATAACAATAATAATCACAGATATTCCTGGATGGTTGAATTAATATGTTACAAATTAGTGGTACTTCCATAGATTTAGCTGAGATTTTCGTCCTAAACATTTCAAATTTTTGCATTTAGATCAAGATCATGTATGTGCCAAATTTCCCGCATCCGAATCTTCGTAAAAATTTTCATTTTCTCTCTTACATCTTTCGGTAGTTAGAACGGATGTGCTTGTAGTCCACACAAGTTTTAGCGTTCTGTCATTGATGGAGCATCTCTGAAAAACTGGAGTTCCATGAGTTATGATGAATGCCATCATATTGTCTTGTTTATTATTATAATGAATGCCAATAGTTAATTGAATGTGACGATGCACGACATTCTTTAGTGATTTAATTCGCAATGTGGTAATGTTCAATTAGAACAATTTACATATAGCTTGTAAGGAGGAAAATTAGGGTTATTATTAGTGTAATGTTATCAGATCCAGCATACGTATGCAAGTTCTTTACGGCTTTAATATATGGCTCCTAGTTTTTTTTGTAATGGTGGCTTCATTTGTGACTTTAACGGTTGGGTAAGCACTTTTATTAAGTTGAGGTTGTGAGAAGAATATGTTACTGCTTTGAAAAAGTGTCATATTATTAATTCTGTGTCGTTATGCTGATAGTTACGTTTTAGGACATTAAAATTTATTTTGGTTTCTTTTTCCCCTAATTATGAGCATTATCAAATAGTTAGATAATAGTAACTGAAGGGATAACACAATACATCAGTTGTCTTGTTAATCATTCTATTGTACCTTTTTGAAGCCAGAAATTTGAAAATGGAGCTATTCCACTGTGAAGATAGGGTTCAGGCTGTTTCAGTTCGTTTCCGAATGAAAGGATTAGCCTACATTTGAATGTGCTATTGCTATGTCTTGTATTATCTATATTGTCATATCAGTTCCTTTTTGAATTAAAATAGAGAAATAGATTGTTTGATGGTGTATGATATTTAGCCTGAATGTGGGGAGGTATCCAATTTTTTCCATGCTCGTTTTTTGTCAGTTATTGAAAAAATATATTTTAGGGGATCTGTTGTCCGCTAGAGAATCAAGAATACTTCCAGAAAGAGAAAAAGAAGGAACGAGAAGTTCAGCACACTCAGTCGAACTGAATATGGCAAACGCTTCCGGGATGCCAGTACAATCCACAAATGGTGGTGGTGTGGATTGCAGTCGGATTTTAGTATCATTAAAATCTGAAAATTCTAAGAAGGAACAGTCATCTACCAAGCATTCAGAATTGTTGAGTTAACAATAATCTAGGGAGGAGGAGATGCTGACATTTCCTCTTTTAAAAGTGCGGTCAGCATGCAGAAGGAATTTTTTGAATTCCTGCTTATGTATCACACGTCGGTGCTTATGTATGAAAACAATCGGCTGTTGCAACTACTATTGTTGAGGAAGAAGGATTACTGGCGTTTCCGGGAGAGGTAATCAAATAGTCATTTGCATTATTACTTTGTGTCGCTGTTACATTTTTGTTGTAATGTTTGTATGAAATGATTCGAAATTGAATAATGGACGATCGCAAGAAAGGTATGGCCCTTTTTGAGACGTTCCAGCAGCAAGTCTTTTGCCAGCTAGCATAGGATATTTGATATTCACAGAAGTCGACTTTAATCTCTAGTGTACAGCCCATAACTGAAGCGGTTTCGCTACTTATGAAATCAAAACCGGATATCCGAAATGAAAAATATCATTCTATGCAAACTGGGATCCGGTTTTGGTTTTTATAATGGTGGTTTTCGGAATTAATCGTCATTTATTCCTATTGTAAATTTGCTTTTGATTTTTTTACGAGTGGTTTTCCTCTCAAATCATTAATAATGATATCTTTACGTGTAAGCAATAACATGAAAAAGGCTTGGCGTTTATTAAGAAACAACTTGACGACACTAATCAACAACAGTATATCCATCATGTGACCAGAGATATTCATATATTGCGATGTCGTTCTGCCAAAGTCGTTCTGGTTAGTTGTCCACTATGTTTTTAAAATCGAGACACGTTGACTTCGCTCCAGTCACCAACTCGCTGTTCTGAAATCATCTGATCTTCAATACACTCTTCCCTGAGCTATAGGCTCCATCATTACTTCAAGCTTATACCTTTGATTAGTTTGCGTTTCCATCCTTTTAGTTTTCATCCCTTTTAGAGTTGTTTGAATGAGAGGAACGTCGCGGAAGAAACTCACGAAGTTCATATTGCAGCAAACACAGAATCAAATTCTCTCCTGTTTTAGATAATTCGAATGAGATCAAACATTGCTAGAACAAAACAAGGAAAACAAGAAATAGAACAACTTCCCATAAAGCACCTGAACTTTTCGCATTTGCTGTTGTCTAAGGTTTCCAAACTTATTTGCAAAAAGGGCAGGACGCTAGAGAGATAATACTTTATCTTAATCTTTACATTGAATAAGACCGCAACGATGTCCCGTACGAACGAATAAATTTCATTTCTACTTGTTATAGTCCGGAACTAAACTCGTACTACCTGTTTCTTTATCAGTGAGTGTCCTGCACAAGCACGTCTAAGTTTTCACACTTCTCATCTCTATTTAACATATCATTACTGATTCTGAAAGGGTGCAGTCTTTCCATCCCTCTCATCTAATATTCGTTTTTCCACACCTTTTTTGTTTAGCAAAGATTTGAGAAATCCAGTGTTTTATTAAATCTGCAATGAGTCTGAGAAGATGACTGTATCACATTATTGTTCATCCAATCGACGATTAGCATAAAATTCTTCTAACTTCGACCAAGGATTAGATGTCATAGCCGGTATCACATAGTCGTTGACATCAAATTGTTCAGCAAGACGTATCGTTCTTGAATTCTTATGGTCATAGCGTCTAATGTCGGGAGAAATTGAAGAGAAACCACCACGTCCTTGTATCTGAATAAAAAAATATCCGTTGCAAAGGTTAATGTAAGGCTTCAGTGGTTATATTAAATAATGAGATATGTCCTGTTGATGACGGCAAATTTATCAGAACGGAAAATTTTTATTCTGCCAAAAATCTTCCATCTATTTATCTATCACTTTTATCGCTTATAATTCTTTTAATCCTATCAAACGTGAAACATCTACCATGTTCTGTGGATTTTTAGAGATGTATGGCGATGATGCTCCCAATGGATTATGCCAATTCGGAGGATGTTGGGCGCTGGTGAGATTGCTTATTGAATAAGCTGGTGCACATGGATAGCAGTGTCGCTTCTGATGTTGATAAGGCGAATTATAACGAAAAGGCGAATGAGGACTAGGCACCGTTGCGTAATCTGAGAATGCTGGGAAAGCATAAGGACTTCTAAAAGGATTGTGGAAATGACTGTCCTTCATGGAAGTCGTAGTACGAGGAGTCCCTGAAACAAGGTCTGTTTCAATCTTATAACAGGATCATCTGCCACACAAATATGCAAATACGAAATACGATTACTTGAATAATTATCAGTTCAGTGCGTCATCATGGTAGTGATATACAATTGCACTGGATGATAGGGCTTAACAGCTTTCCTTGAATGAAAATTGAAAATGTTAAGATTCTTTCAGTCATCTATTTGGATCGCTCCCTGATTACATATCCATGAATTATTCACTGATAACGTGGACAAAATTCCTCACCATATAATCCGAATATGTTATTCCAGGATTTCTTTTAAGAAACCTTCAAGAGCTAATCTACGAGCTATAAGTAAAACAGATGAACTATGCGAAAAAAATGAGTGGATAATCTACTTCACCTTCGTCGTGGTAATCGTGCGATTTATAAGAAAGAGAAATTCTCTTTTCGTTTTACAAATTAGAGAAGAATATTTACAAAACACTTTTGAAGAGAAGTAACTTACCGAAATTCTTTCGTGGTCGTGGAGTCATTTCTTGCTCGTTGTTATACATATTCATCTTTTCAGCAACTAAAAGTAAAGTGAAAGTCAGTGAGAAATATTTCAAACGAATTTATTTAACCATTAACACCACTACATAACTTCTGTCAGTACACAAGTATTCACGGCCGCTCTCTTTCATATTAGATATCGCTATGCAACACTAATTTTTCAAGATTCACAGTTCATGTGATTTGTGTCTTTAAGATATCTACTGAGTATCTTAGATTCATGTTATTGTTAAATTCATTTAATGATATCACGTCAACGCTGCGTTATCGTTCTTTTTGTTTGCGAAATATTTTTGTCCGATCCCGAAACTTCATTAGTTTCAGAGAAAAATGAATGCGATCATGAAAACTATAAATCGTCACTCTGCAAAAGAATGGATAAATTATTTCTGTTCCACCCATTTTTGGGGTCCTGTTGCTAATTGGGGTATTCCAATCGCTGCTTTGGCAGATTTGAAGAAAAATCCCGATTTGATTTCAGGTATGCCATTGACCTGTAAATAAGCGAGGATTTGTGAACTGAAAAAAAATGATAAAAAGTTTCAAAAAGTGCATTCATATGCTTTTTAAAAATATACTTTATATCAATTCTAGGTCCAATGACCACTGCCTTGTGTATCTACTCAGCAGTTTTTATGCGATTTGCATGTCGTGTTGAACCGCGCAATATGCTTCTTTTCTCGTGCCATTTCGCAAACATCACTTTACAACTGATGCAGGTAACAAATCTTTATAAGTAAAAGTAGTCCTTCAAATACTAAGCTTTTTCCAGTTACCAAGCTATATAGTATGTATAGCATTGCACATTACCGATTTTATTTCTGTGGCAAAAGGTAATTACTCTGCCGATCTCGAAACAGAAATGACAGAAAAAACGAATCGTAAATAAAAGAAAGATTTGCTAGATAGAATGGAATAGGCTGATAGGTTTGTTTATGGTGTACTTTAATAATGCAAGTAGATTTGTAGCAGTTGAGTGTGAGATTTTTTTTCCACAACATATTTTCGCCATTGCGTTTCCAAATCCTGAATTTATTTGTATTTTATAGATGGCCCGTTTTCTTAATCACAACTACTTACATATTATGGACGATCCAACATTCGATTATGGTCAAACAAATAATACACTTCTTATAGAAAAGATGAACTAGCTTGTAATTATAAGAAGGAGAAGAATGAAGCGAAATATTTCTCCATATCTGGTAATCCAGGAATTTCTCCACATATCATATATTTGTTAGAAAATTAGTTCTTTTTTATTATTTTGCATATATATGCTATGGTATTTTTCTCGAATTTCTAGTCTGCTTTAGTTTCACGTTGTGTAGATTGTATAAATAATTATTAATTCCTATATAAAATTGATAAACGTTGCGAATTTGAATAAAGTTTACGATACAGCCCGAAATATCAGTAATATATGTGTCAAGTGTACGGCCACACGAAGTATGGAATTTGCTTAAACGCTTCATATTTTAAAAATCTGCCTGGAGTAAAGGAAAGTTCAAGAAATAGCATACGCGGCTTCTTACGTTTTTGGCTTGAAATTTCAGCAAAGAATCGGTTTAAATGAATAATAATTGGCATGAATGAATCGTAGAAGATGAAAGCATATGTTTTAAAATTTAATGTACTATATGGGCAAGTGGCCATAAAAAAGCAGCGATTGTTTCACTCGGATAACCAAATTCACAATTATTGTGGAAATGTTTAATTTGTATGAAGTATCATGGCGCCAATACTTAAAAAATGCTTTAAAAAAATACTTGCAAAATGGAATCTGGAATGTTCAGTAAATTGTGACTTATTTCGAGATAGCATGATAATGATAAATGATAGTTTATTTTGATATTATTCAAGTAATATCAGTTGCTGTGATCCGGACTGAGAACGGAAATTTAGATTTCCAAACAGACTGTTTGACATGTTAGAAGTTTTTAAAAAAGTTCCTCAATTATCATAAAAGCATATTTCAAAAACTGTTGTTATGGGGTGACCGGTATAAATTCATTATGGGAATAACCAACATGAATTCATCCTTAAAATACCATTTTATTGCAGCTTTTCACGATATCACCTGAGAATTTTTATAAAATTCGAGTAGATTTTTGATTATTGGGAATTCACAGGAGGATCAGAAATGTTTGGGAATTCACAGTTCAGGACGGAAATGAATGTCTCTCCCACAGGCTGTAATGATTTTGTTGTCCAAACTCAATGAGTTAATTGGCGCTCCCACGATATCTCATCTTTGAAGTTATCCATTGCCCTTTGACATAAATGGTCACACGCATGCTTAGCATTAAATTTTGCAAATAATAATCTGAGATTTCTTGCATGGATATCTTCTATATAAGTCCATTTGACCTGACGGGGAATTCATTTGAGCTTTCTTACTCATTTGTAGCTCGTCATTTCCTATTCGAGAAATTGTTGAAGAAACTGCTGAATTTCGATATTATTTAAATTTAACTCAGGTATACCATCCTTTCTCAGACTTATTTCTTAATTTATTGCAATATTTGAATAAGCTAAATTGTTGCTAATGAAAAAAAATTTGTATTCAAGTTACATTTTAGCAAAAATTAAAAATTAAAAGAAAAAGTAAGATTCATCTTTCAGGAATGTTTCTGACAATAGCATTATCGTTTCTCGTTATTTGGTCGTCAGCAATTCATGCTGCTCAAGTGGTAACAAGCGCTTCTACTATACGGCAACGGGATCCGGAAGAATTCTGGATTTCTGCCAATTTGTTAAATGTTGAGTGGAAGCTAGCTTGTCTCACAGTCACTTACTGTAATCAGCCGGAACTGAAAATGATTAAAAGAAATTCGGTAAACGAAGAGAAAAGCTCATTCAGTTGGCAGTTAGATCAAAATTTTGAGCAGGTAAGAAGAATTTTTATTGAACTAAGAAAATCTATCATTAATGCGATTTTATTGTTTGGAAATGTACTGTAGTTCATAAATTATTGGATTACTTTTCGACAACAATGTTTCTTTAAAAAATTTGATTTAGTTATCCAACAGTGTTTTCATCAGCCATTGGAGTGAAGGATCTCCTATGGATATTGAAATGAGTATTGAAATTATTGGTATTGATCCAAAGTATCGATTTCAACGCAGCTGTGATCAAACTGCTGCAACAAAAGCTTTCAAATATGAAGCACAGGTAAATTCTTGCCATTTATCTTTCCTTTTTATAATATCGGTTATTGAATATTCACTTTGTCCAATTAAATCACTTAATGCTAAATATTTCAATTCTAATTCATCTTTCGAATTTAGGACGAACATTTTGAAAATTCAGGTGGAGCAAATGGTAGCGAACTTGATGAGATGATTGTTGAACTGCAAGGCCGATGCTTCAACGCTTCCTTAACAGTTCAAAAGCACATTGGACGTTGTCCATGGTGTGCTAAATTTAAAACAACTACAATCGCTACTACCACTAAGGTGAATATTGTTTGTAGAAATTTCTTAATTTACAGTTTTTTTTAATCCAATTTTTTTCATTCCTCATTTGAAATATTTTTTAGTCATATGAAAATGGTTTTTCTGCGATTAAACAGTACGATTTGTTAGTGATAATCTGCATCATCACATCCTGTCTAATAATTATCTGTCCTCTGCTATGCATTTTTAATCAGTACTGGAAATTTGGGAAATTATCAACGCGGAAAGCACCAATATTACCTGTCGTCCAGTCAAAAAGTTGGAAAATCATGAAATTTCGGTATGTTTTTCTTTTTATCTTTCCACTAATACTGTAACACTTACAGATAATCATCATTTGTCCGATTTATTGAAAAATCAGATAACATTAAATTTAACATGTGAGGCATTTTTCTTGAAATGTAAATTATCAGTGATATGAGTTATCTCGAACTATCAAATAACTGCTGTTGACACATTCAAATGATTATTATGTAGTTACAATTCAATGGAATAATTCTTGGAAATGTACTGGAAATGAAGTTTAATAAATATTTTGAACAAAGTAATATTTATTTTCAGTGGAAACGATCATTTCATCACAAATTCGATGAGCGAAAGTAAAAATAGCAATAGCAGTGGCGGTAGTAGTAGCAGGATCAGTTTGAAACATAAATCATTAATTAATAGTACCGGTGGTCAGAGTTCTGCTAATTCGGATACGGTAATCGAAAGTGACTGTTCATCATCTGTAAGTATTGGAACGTACGACAATATCGCTCTTCCTGATAATATGCCCATTTATTACATAAATACATGAAAATTTGCCATAGCAATATCAAATTTATTCTTATACTAACGTTTTTTTCTTTAAGAATATGTAAGTAATTGATTAGGATTTTCATTATTTCTTAATTTTCATTTATCATCTTTTTATTGTTTTTTAATTATTTTTTGTACAAATTTTATTATTTTATTTTTCGAAATGTTCTTCACTACTTAGTTATTTTATCTTTTTTCTATTGCAAAAAATTTATAACTCTGAGGTTAAATTTTATTATGAAAATGTGAATATCAAGAAAAATATCATCATTTGATGGTAAAATTTTTTTGTCGTATATCGCTTGTATTTTTCATCCATTCTTAATATATTTTAATGTGTCACTGATTTATTTATTTTTAAATTATTGTGCTTTGATTTATTTATTTTTATGTCTTTCAATTATTTACTGTACTTTTGATCTCATTTATTGTTGTTCTTTGTTTTTCATGTGATATTAATTTATATTTAGCTTAATGAAATTTGAAGCTTTCTATTATAATTTTATATATCACACAGCAATGTGTTTGAAATTTTTAAAAAAGATGAATGATAAAATTCATGCCTGAGTAAACTGTTACGCCACTTCATAATAATTCACTTTTTATCGCTAAACGTTTGTTTTGCGTATGTTTCATTCACGTCAATAAACGAATGTCATTTTATGGGTATTTTACATAAATTTATAAAAAGCAAATAACAGCTTAACAATTATATTTTATTAATTTTTAACCTTTTTATATATTATTTCAATACATTCACCTAATATTATTGTCAGAATTTTAGCGGAAATTAAATTTGACAATTACAAATTCCAATGAAGTTGCAGTTTAACAAACTAAAATTCATAAATATTTTTGTACTTAAAATATTCAATATATTTTCAGCTGGCATTCAAACTCTGATTTTAATCATATGCAAACAACTAACTTTCCCAGGGTTTGTGCAGTTTATCAAACTACTTCCCAAATTTTGAAGGAATTAAAAATAGTCAAATATATAATATTTGGAAGAGCAAAGAAACAATTTCCGGTCGCAATTTTGATTCAAATTAATGGTTTGTGTTCATACAGAAACATAAATAAATAAATTGACTTTCTTTAGGTGAAAATAGTGAAAATAATTACTGGCGATAATAATGGATGAAAATTCAATCAGTTAAAAGTAAAGATAGGAAATTACTGGACGATGTTATCATCCCATCCTATCCATTTAGTGAACAATGTTATCATCTCAATCCGTTCATTCCATATGAAAAAAATATTTGCCATTCACAATATTTAAATTTATCACCTTTATCAATTTTCGTCTTCTCAGTAATTTTCTGTAAAATTTTATAACTTTCTGTATTTCTATTTGAATAAGAGATATGCCTATCACTTTTCAATAATTACGAATGTACTATCAGGAAGGGAATTATTAGCATTTTGTTTGTAACACTTTAAAAATTGCTAAAAGGAAATTTTTCATAAACGAACTGAAATTAACATTCGTTTATTGTACCACATCATCATTACAAACTTTTCATCATTTAAATTTCATACTCAACAATTACTGAAGCAATTAATAACTTAAATTTTCGATATTCGCATCTATATGAAAATTCACAGTTAACATTCGATACTCGTAGTTGACATTTTTTTTTTTTCAAAATTAAGGAATTCATTCATTCTGCAATACATGAAGAATAGATGGGAATGCCAATTTGAAAAAAAAAATTTTGATTTGATAAAACGTGAGGAATAGGTATATTTGAATTTTGAATCTTTTTCGAATTGACATTCCCTCCAACTTCTCATCTAAGATTCGAAAATGAATGAATGATGTTACGATGATATATACTAACTAACCTTTCCTATTCCATGTAGCACTGTTATTATGGAAGGAACAATCAATAGGCGAATGCACACACACACACACACACACACACACACACACA